ATGTTCCTCATTAATGGAGGAGGGTGGAGATACCTGTTCAATTCCTCCTTTTTTTTTTGGTGCAAAATGTCCCATCTCTGGAGAGTTGGGGTTTCTGGGAGGTGGAGGTGGGGGCTGTGATGTGTCTGAGGGGGAAATCCGTGCTGGTTTAATCCCTGGCACTCAGAACACCAGGTTTACTGATCAGACAAACCCATCCTCGCTGCTTCCATGAGTTCCTTTCATCAGTGACCCGTGGAGCTGCTGGAACAAGTCCAGAGGAGCCCATGGAGATGCTCCAAGGGCTGGAGCTGCTCTGGAGCCAGGCTAGGAGAGCTGGGAATGTCCAGCCTGGAGAAGAGAAGGCTCCAGGGAGACCTGAGAGCATCTTCCAGGACCTAAAGGGACTCCAGGAGAGCTGGAGAGGGACTGGGAACAAGGGATGGAGGGGCAGAACACAGGGAATGGCTTCCCACTGACAGAGGGCAGGGTTAGATGGGATATTGGGAAGAAATTCTTCCCTATGAGGGTGATGAGGGGCTGGGATGGATTTCCCGGAGAAACTGTGACTGCCCCATCCCTGAAAGTGTTCAGAGCCAGGCTGGAACAACCTGGGATGGTGGAAGGTGTCCCTGCCCATGGCAGAGGGTTAAAACTGGATGATCTTTCAGTCCCTTCCAACCCAAACCATTCCATGATTCCACAATCCCATAATATTTACTCCTCTTACAGGAGTGTTTTGGGATTTAAACTGCCTGTAGGTGTGTGAGAAGAGCTCAGCACTGGGATTGACACTGTCCTGTCAGCATTCCTCCCTTAAATCCGATCGTGGTTTTTGCTCCTACATCCCTCTGCTCTGGAAGAAATCTGGGATTCAGAGGAGATACACAAGAACTTATTAGAGGAATGAAAAGGCAGAGTTTTAAAATAATTAAGTCAGGAAGGCTCTCAAACCCTGAAACTCTGCCCTGGAGGTGGATGGGCAAGTTTAGGACTTCCCAGTGGGAATCTTCTCAGCCTGGTCATGGGGCAGCACGAGCAGATCTGCTGGGAGGTTGTGGGACTTGGAGACTCTTTCAGTGTGGATGCAACTGCTCCCATCAGATGCCTCCACTTGGCTCAGGTTTCTCAGGCTGGAAGGAAACATTTGGCTGAACTTCTCCTTTTATTTATGGTACAAACTCCCCTGAAACGCTGAGAGTTCTTGTATTAATTTACCTTTGAACACAGCCACGAAAAACACCTTTTTTTTTCTCCCCCCCCAAATATCCCGTGGGTCTTTGAGGCAGATTTATGCAGCTTCATAATCCTTTTATCTGCAGTGAATGGACCCTCCACACACACACACCCCGACATAACAGGTTATGGTTTCCCCCCAAAATAATAAAGGGAATTCAACAAAAGCCTCGCGGGATGTTCCCATTAGTTCTTGTTATTCCTCTGGGCAGCTGCCAGCCCTGCAAGGCGGCTGCACGTAAAAGGGGAGACATTTCAGGCCTCCGAGACTCAGATAAGATCAACTGAAACTATAAACAAGCCAGGTATGTTGACACCCCCCAAAAAACAAGAACAAAAAAACCCACAACCCTCCAAACCCAAGGAGGGACCAGCATTTAAGAGCAGGGTGTTGGCACAGGCTCTTCCCTCCAAGATTCGACAATTGCAGCAGGAGATCACATTTCAGATGTGCATGTGAAACCAGCCATTTAGCGCATTGTTCGAGGCCTCTTAATGCCAGAAACCACACCCCGGCCGCGGTAAATAGTTTGCTCTTCTCTGGGTTTCCCCCTCCCTTAAGAAGCAAGGCAAACACACAATCGGCATATTTCTCTCTTCTTAATAGGATTATAACATTCCCCGCTGAACCGTGAGGAACTGCGAAGCCAGGATAGACCCGAAATGTCTTTCCCTGGGTGATTTCGGGGCTGGAAATAACTGCTTAATTTTTATAATCGGCGTAATTGCTGTATTAAGAGAGGCAACTGTGAAAACAATCCGTCTGAATTCCTGAGGGTGCAGGTCACCCAGGAGCGCTGTTTGTAAAATAAATGGGGTTTGGGAAACACGTTTGGTTGAGATATTCGGGAAAAATCCTTCCCTGGGAGGGTGGGGAGGCCCTGGCACAGGTTGCCCAGAGAAGCTGGGGCTGCCCCTGGATCCCTGGAAGTGTCCAAGGCCAGGTTGGAGCAACCTGGGATAGTGGGAGGTGTCCCTACCCATGGCAGGGAGTGGGAACTGGATGATCTTTAAGGTCCTTTTCAGCCCAAACCATTCCCTAATTCACCGGAGCTTCAGATTTGGAGAGGCAATGATTGGGTTGTTTGTTCAGTATCCCCAGGAAATCTTTGGACATTTTAAGACAGAGCAAGACAAACTGGCCTCAAGTTGCACCAGGGGAGGTTTGGGTTGGATATTTGGGAAAAGGCCTCTGTGGAAAGGGTTGTCAAGCATTGGACTGGGCTGTCCAGGGAAGTGGTGGAGTCACATCCCTGGAAGAGTTCAAAAAACCTGTGGATGTGGCACCTGTGGACATGGATTAGTGGTGCTGTGCTCGTGGCTGGACTTGGGGATCCTAAAGGTCTCTTCCAGCTTTAATGATTACATGATTGTAGGAGTTCAAGTGAATAACCCTGAATAAAGTCCCTCTGATGGTGTGATACAACAGAAGTGGTGGGAATATCTCCTAAAATATCTTTATTTCTCCTTTCCTTCTTTTATTATTAAAAGCACGTGTTGGGAGGGCACCTGGAATAGCCAGGAAAGGCTCTTCTTGACCAGTTTTTCAAATCCCACGTTCCAACTTGTTCATCACACCTTGGAGGAGGAGGATTTACAAACATGGGACTGTCCTGAGGCGCAGGAAAAACTGGGAGACACCTGAGGCAGCAGGGATGGGGGTGGGAAAGGCGTTTGGGAAGCAAAGGAGTCACGAGGTGCAACCACACGTGGAGAGGGTTGGCCCAGAGCAGAGGAGCTTCTCCCTGCACCCTCCTCCACTTTTTTTTCCAGTGAGTAAAGGGATTTCAAGTCAGTTTTCCACTTTAAGGCCAGGTTGGACGGGGCTTGGAGCAACCTGTGATAGTGAAAGGTGTCCCTGACCATGGCAGGGGGTTGGAATCGCCTTTAAGGTCCCTTCCAACCCAAACTATGATTCTCCTGGTGATCAACTCCAGGCCCAACTGAAGGTACAAACACAGAGAAGTCCTGGAGGTTCACAGCCTTCAAGTTCCCAGCCACGAATGCTTTTTCCCTCCTCCCAGGATTTCTGGAAACCGCCCAGAACTCCTCAAAAACAAAAGAAGGAGAAAGATCACCAAAGCTGCAAGGCAAGACACCAGGATTATTTAACCCCCCTCCCTGGGCTTCCCTGTAACAAAGCACCCACCTTAAACAATCCCAGCTATTGTCCCAAGTCTGAGCCCTAATTTTCTTCTCCAAAGAACATGAAAAGAGGTGACGGTGGAGGAGGAGGTGGGGCCTGACCTACGGCTCCTTCCGTTCGTTTATAGCTCGATGGGACTTGTTTTTCCAGTAGATTTGGAGCTTTGGGGACGAGGGCAGTGCATGGCAAACCCCCCCAGGGAGGTGGGACAGCAAAGCCAGTGGTGGAGAGCAGTGATAACCTGGGCAAGCAGGGACTGTGCAGGATGAAGGTGTTTCTGCCTCTTCTGTTGGCCGCCGCAATTTGCGTAGAATTCGGTAAGTTCTCACTCTGATTTACCCAAATCCCTGCAGGATATTTAGGGATATGGGATAGGATGTGTCCCTGTTCCCTCCCCTGAAATTCAGGCCTCCCACTTGGAGGGAATCTATCTTTGGAATGTCTCCAGCCTGTCAGATGTTCGGGATCACGATGGTGTCACCGGGACTGTCGGTTCAGGCTCTCTGGGAAGCGTCACAAGGCAGGGTGTGATTATACCATGTCATCTCTTTAATGCAAATTCCAGCTCTCACTTTCTTACATGTTCTCGTTCAGTCTCACAACTCTCTTTTTTTTCAATGTTATTTTTATCTTTCTGAACTGGTTTTTTTTTTTTTTTCCCCCTCTTAATACTCAACCCTGAAAGTTGCCAGCCCATGTAATGCAGCATGTGTGGAATCTCTCTAAAAATATGTTATGGGTGGGATTTATCAGATTTTGGCCACTAGAAGTGGGAAAGATGGGCTGGGACAAAGCTGGTGGCCCAGGTACTGCAGGGTTGATGTTTGTCATGGGCTGGTTGGGGTTGGAAGGGACCTCAAAGATTGTGGAATTCCAACACCTTCCACTATCCCAGGTGGTTCTGACCTGGCCTTGGACACTTCCAGGGATGGGGCTGCCACAGCTTCTCTGGGCAATCTGTGCCAGGGCCTTCCCACCCTCCCAGGGAAGAATTTCTTCCCAAAATTCCATCTAACTCTTCCCTCCTCATCCCCCTTTGTCCTGTCGTTGTATCTTTGTTTAGAGCTCTGTTTATTAACTCACTCTGGTTTACCTGAAGTAAAGAAAATTTCCTCAGGCTACCACGGAAAACAACCAAGTGTGAAGCATTTTGGGGTCTTTCCCCATTTTTTTTGAGGATTTGGAAGTTTGTCACCGTAAGGAATGACCCCACTATCCAGGATTGCCCAGAGAAGCTGTGGCTGCCCCATCCCTGGAAGTGTTCAAGGCCAGGTTGGAGCAACCTGGGATAGTGGAAAGTGTCCCTTCCCATGATGGGAGTTGGAACGGGAAGATCCTTAAAGATCCCTTCCAACCCAAACCATCCTGTGATTCTATCCTAGGATTCCATGATCCTCCCTCCATCCTTTCTGTCCCTGTTGTTCTCCCTGCCTCCTCACTGGAGGGGACAGGCTTGGAGCAGGAGGTGGGGCCTGACCTACGGCTCCTTCCGTTCGTTTATAGCTCGATGGGACTCGTTTTTCCAGTAGATTTGGAGCTTTGGGGACGAGGGCAGTGCATGGCAAACCCCCAGGGAGGTGGGACAGCAAAGCCAGTGGTGGAGAGCAGTGATAACCTGGGCAAGCAGGGACTGTGCAGGATGAAGGTGTTTCTGCCTCTTCTGTTGGCCGCCGCAATTTGCGTAGAATTCGGTAAGTTCTCACTCTGATTTACCCAAATCCCTGCAGGATAGATATGGGATAGGATGTGTCCCTGTTCCCTCCCCTGAAATTCAGGCCTCCCACTTGGAGGGAATCTATCTTTGGAATGTCTCCAGCCTGTCAGATGTTCGGGATCACGATGGTGTCACCGGGACTGTCGGTTCAGGCTCTTTGGGAAGCGTCACAAGGCAGGGTGTGATTATACCATGTCATCTCTTTAATGCAAATTCCAGCTCTCACTTTCTTACATGTTCTCGTTCAGTCTCACAACTCTCTTTTTTTTTAATGTTATTTTTATCTTTCTGAACCTTTTTTTTTTTTTTTCCTCTTAATACTTAACCCTGCAAGTTGCCAGCCCATGTAATGCAGCATGTGTGGAATCTCTCTAAAAATATGTTATGGGTGGGATTTATCAGATTTTGGCCACTAGAAGTGGGAAAGATGGGCTGGGACAAAGCTGGTGGCCCAGGTACTGCAGGGTTGATGTTTGTCATGGGCTGGTTGGGGTTGGAAGGGACCTCAAAGATTGTGGAATTCCAACACCTTCCACTATCCCAGGTGGTTCTGACCTGGCCTTGGACACTTCCAGGGATGGGGCAGCCACAGCTTCTCTGGGCAATCTGTGCCAGGGCCTTCCCACCCTCCCAGGGAAGAATTTCTTCCCAAAATTCCATCTAACTCTTCCCTCCTCATCCCTCCTTGTCCTGTCGTTGTATCCTTGTTTAGAGCTCTTGTTTATTAACACACTCTGCTATACCTGAAGTAAAGAAAATTTCCTCAGGCTACCACGGAAAACAACCAAGTGTGAAGCGTTTTGGGGTCTTTCCCCATTTTTTTGAGGATTTGGAAGTTTGTCACCGTAAGGAATGACCCCACTATCCAGGATTGCCCAGAGAAGCTGTGGCTGCCCCATCCCTGGAAGTGTTCAAGGCCAGGTTGGAGCAACCTGGGATAGTGGAAAGTGTCCTTTCCCATGATGGGAGTTGGAACGGGAAGATCCTTAAAGATCCCTTCCAACCCAAACCATCCTGTGATTCTATCCTAGGATTCCATGATCCTCCCTCCATCCTTTCTGTCCCTGTTGTTCTCCCTGCCTCCTCACTGGAGGGGACAGGCTTGGAGCAGGAGGTGTGTGGACAACAACAAGCTGATATTTGGGATGACATCCGGGATGTGGAGGTTGGGAACAAGCCCCATGAATCCAGGGATGCCCTGAAAACCTCCCCTTTCTGTTCCCATCAGTGGCATTCAGTTGTTTCTCCTCCATCACCAGCTCCATGAAGCCAAGTGTGGAATGACATTTGGGACATTTTAATCCCCTGGAAAGTAGGGAATCCCCTCATCCCAGGCACATCTACACGAGCAGTGATGCCATAACCTCCAAGGGAGGAAGGTGGTGGCTGCACAGAGGGAAGGACACCCTGGAATAGGTTCCTCATCCCTTGTTTCTGCCACCACCACAACTTTTTGCCCCTTCTGATGATCCCAAGCTCCCTTGGTGTTCTCCTGGATGGCCAAGGGAAGTCCTGTGCAAGAGCTGGGACTGTCAATTGGGATATTCTTCAATCTGATTTTTATCTGTGGAGCCCTGTCAGGATCTTTTTCATTTCTACTTATTAATTTATATTTAATTTTCTATTTCAATTTTCCTTCCTAAATCCTTGGACCTGCAAGGGCAGGCTCTGCAGGGGAGGAGCAGGTGCTCTGTTTGTTTTTTTTTTTTTCTTTTCAAAGAGGAACAGAAAACGCTTCGGTTTGGATTTGCAAAGTCTCCCGAAACCTGAGACCGATGACGACTCTTTCTCCCCAGAGCTGTGTTTGACAACTGTCAGAGAAAGAATTAAAGCAAACAACACCACTGTGAAGTTTGCTTGGAATAAAAGAAAGAAAATTCCTGGGTCTGTTTAGAAAAGGGCTTTTTTGGGGTGGTTTTTTTTGTTTGTTTGTTTTTGGGGTTTTTTTTCTGGCTTATTTGATATCTATTTTCATAAGGTGACTTCCTTACACCCCGTTGGATTCAGCTGAATCCATGAGCTGCATCCTTGCTCTTTTTTCTCAGTGGGATTTAAAGGAATTGCATAGGGAATGTCACACAGATAAGGTGACAACTGCCTTCCAGACCAAAGAGGGGCTGCTGGGCTCGGCCAAAATGTGTTGCTATGATTTTAAGACGAATTCAGGTGTCTCTAAGGGGGTGGAAAAGAGGATCTGGAGTAGAGGACCCACATCAAGTGTTGGGCTCCTCAGAAAAACCCTGAAAATCTTGTCCTAAAATGTCTTTCTCGGTGATGGGAGACACCAGACACTGTTTTGGCTTGATACCTTGAGCTTGGAGTGCTCTGTGTCACAGCAATTTGGGCTCTTCAGTGTTTTTATCAATAATTCCTCCATCTCAGAAGATTTTAGACAAGGAAAAACGTGGGCTGTGGGTATTTTGTGTGGTGGGAGCTGAGAGGAACCTGCAGCTGGAAAGGGCTTTTGCAGCTCCACAGGGAGGTGATGAGGGACATCCACAAGCTGGTGAGGGACAAGGCAGGGTTGGGTTTGGAGCCCTGAGTACCAAATTTTGTTTCTGTGGCCTCTGCCTGGAGCAGAAGATGTCCCCATACAATCCATCAGTGTGGTTGCTGTCGTGTTTAGTTCTTCCCTGTGAGGGTGGTGAGGTCCTGGCAGAGGTTTTCCAGAGAGTTTGTGGCTGCCTCATATCCCTGGAAGTGTCCAAGGCCAGGCTGGAGCAATGTGGAATAGTGGAAGGTGACCCCTTCCTCCATGGCAGGGGTTGGGAATGAGAAGATCTTTAAGTTCCCTTCCAACCCAAACCATTCTGTGATTCCATGACCTTTCTAAAGTACCAGGATCTCAGAAGGGTTGTGCTTGATTTGTTCTCATGGCTCAGGAAATTTGATGGAGACATTTCCTTCCCTGTGGGACACACCCCCCCCACACCTGAGAGCTCCCCATGGGTGGAGTGGACAGCCCCAGATTTGGCTTCTGGGTGTCCCCAGATCCTTCACCAGGCGAAAGTCACAACCTGACAACCTTCTGTGATGAAGTGACTGACCTTGCAGGTGAGGGCAGAGCTGTGGGCGTTGTCTGCCTGCACTTCAGGAGGGTCTTTGATGCTGCCTCCCATAAGATCCCAGAATCATGGAATGGTTTGGGCTGGAAGGGACCTAAATGACCATTTCATTCCAACCCCCTGCCACGGACAGGGACACCATCCACTATCCCAGGTTGCTCCAAGCCCCGTCCAACCTGGCCTTGAAGTGGAAAGCTGATCTGAAATCCCTTTACTCACTGGAAAAAAACATGGTTAGCACTGGGAAGACAACGGGATCAGGCCATAAATTTGGGCCAAGGGAATGTCTGGTTCATTCTCCCGAGGATTCAGGGAGAAGCTCCTCTGCTCTGGGCCAACCCTCTCCACGTGTGGTTACAACTCGTGACTCCTTTGCTTCCCAAACGCCTTTCCCATCCCCATCCCCGCTGCCTCAGGTGTCTCCCAGTTTTTCCTGCGCCTCAGGCCAGTCCCCTGTCTGTAAATCCTCCTCCAAGGTGTGATGAACAATTTGGAATGTGGGATTAGAAAAACTGGTCGAGAAGAGCCTGGATGATGGGTCAGAGCCCCCTCAGCAAGTCTGTGGGTGACACAAACCTGGGAGGAGCGGCTGATCCAAGGAAAACCTGGGACTGGTCAGCCCGGAGAAGGGAATCCTCAAAGTGGGGAATCTCATAAATGTTGATAAATCCCTGAAGGGAAGGGGGCAAAGAGGCTCTTCCCAGTGGTTCCCAGTGCCAGAGCTGGAGGCAAAGGCCACAAACTGGAACAGAGGAGGTTCCCTCTGGACACCAGGGAACACTTTAGGATTGGGAGGGGGACTGAGCGCTGGCACAGGTTGCCCTGGGAGGTTTGGGAATCTCCATCCTTGGAGAAATTAGAACTCAGTCTGGACACGTTCCTGGGGGAGAGGTTTTAGGTGGTCCTGCTTGACTTGTCACACCTAATTACTTAATTAATTAATGGACTGATCCAGGGGATCCCAGACTGATTCAGCAGGTCCTGTATTCATCCAGGGGTCCCAGACTGATCTGGGGAGTCCTGATTGATTCAAGAGGGGTCCCAGGTTGATCTGAGGGTCCTGATTGATTCGGGGGGTCCTGATTGATTTGGAGGGTTCCAAATTGATCTGAAGGATCCCAATTGATCCAGGAGATCCCATATTGATCCAGGGGGCCTGCACTGATCCAATGGATCTCAAGCTGATCCAGGGAGTCCCGTATTGATCCAGAAGTCCCAGATTGATCTAGGGGTCTCAGGTGGAACCAGGGGATCCTAAATTGATCTGGGGGGTCCTGGATTGATCCAGGGGTCCTGATTGATCTGGGTTGTCTCACATTGATCTGGGACTCCCGAAGAGATCCAAAAGATCCCAATTGATCCAGGGGGCTTTGACCACCAGCCCCTTTTATTTCCCATTCCCATCGTCACAAACACATTTTACTCTTCCATTCCCTTTCTCAGCATGAGGATTTGGGAACATTTACCCCCAGGGGAGGGGCACAGACACCCCCTGGTGTTCCCCCCTGAGTCCAAGCTGGTGTTTTCCCTCCTCCCAGCTCTCACCTTGCAGTGCTACACGTGCAGGACCGAGACCCCCGTGGAGAAGTGCCTGACCATCGAGAACTGCTCGGAGAGTGAAAACATGTGCAAGACCACCATGTATTCCCTGGAGGATGGTAAGGACAACCACCTCTCCCTCCACACTTCTGGACGTGGATCCTGAAGGGTGGTCAGGACCGTGGCTTCTTCATCCATGCTTTAAACAAGAATCAGTGTTCCTGCAGTGAGAAATTGCTTTTTTTTTTCACTTAAATGTGGGAAGGAGCTCCTGAGGGAGCAGGAGTCTCCTACTGCTGCTGCTGCAAGCAGAGTTTGTGTGAGTTAATATTTAAGGTTTGCAAGCTCCCAGTTAATGCTGAGCGTTAGATATGAGAGTTTAATTTTTTTGCTACGCTCGTGCAGTGATAGGACAACAGGGAATGGCTTTAAACTTAAAGAAGGTAAGTTTAGATTGGATATTAGGGAGAACCAAGGCCAGGTTGGACGGGACTTAGAGCAACCTGGGCTAGTGGGAGGTGTCCCTGCCCGTGGCAGGGGGTTGGAATTCCATGATCTTTAAGTTCCCCCCCACCCCCAACCCAAACCGTTCTGTAGTTTTATGACACCAACTTCTGGTCATCTGAAGGTGAAAGAGAAATGCCCTGAAGTTCTTTGTAGCTCTCCCAGAGGCTTTGCCAGTCTGTCTGGTGGCCCTGAAGGTTATGGAGCTGGAGGTTCTCCCTTTGGAAGGTCCTGCTGATAAGTCCCTGGTCCCGCTTGGGAGAGGCAGGAGATTATGGAATCATAGGATCATAGAATTAACTGGGTTGGAAGAGACCTCCGAGATCATCAAGTCCAACCCTTGATCCAACCCCAGGGATCAAGGTGATGGTGAGGAGAGTCCAAGGAGAGGCAGAAAAAGTGGCTGATCCACCTTTTTCAGGGTAATGCTGACCCAGGCAGGACACAGAGGATGCAAAATGCCATCCAGCTCCTGGCCCCTCAGCGGGAGCTGCTTCCCACATTCCTGGTAGGAAGCTCTTTGTGTTTGAACCAGAGCTACGACTTTCTTAGTGAAGGCAGGAAGAAGCAGGGACGGGGAGAGCCCTCCTCCGTTTCTCCCAGCCCTGAACATTCCATCTGTCTGTCCTTGTGTCAGTTTATCCCTTCACTGGCGTCTCCACCGTCACCAAGATGTGCTCGTCCGTCTGCGTCCCGTCGAACGTGGACGGGATCGGGATGACCCACCCCGTGTCCTGCTGCTACTCCGACCTGTGCAACGCGGATGGCGCAGCCAGCCTGAGGGTCAGCCTCGTGCCAGTTGGGATGCTGGCCACTTCCCTGTGTGCCTTCCTCTGGACTAGACCCTGAGGAGCTGATGGGAAGGTCTTTCACTCCGAAGAACCCAGCAAAGAAGAGGAGAAACCCCCCCCCCCCAGCTCAGCTTTCCCTTCGGATGCCTCATAAACAACCTTCGACAGCTCCCAAAAATCCATCCTTTTTTTTTTTTTCTTTTAATTATTATTATTATCCACTCCTTTCCCACGACTAACAGAGGAGCAAAACTCAGGAAGCCCCCCCCCCAAAAAAAAAGGTTTTTTAATTGATTTTTCAACCATTCCCACAGAACCAGCCGTGGAGTTCCATTGCTCTGCCAGGCTGGTTGGTTTGGAATTAAAAAATTCCGCTGTGTGAAGTATATTTAAGACAAAAAAATCCAAAAAACAAAAACCTCCTTAGAGTAGGTCTTCTCCACTCCAAAGTTTTGGGGCTGGCTCTTTGTTCTGTCTAGGTCTTCTTTGTACCCAAGAAATTAAGGAGATCCTTCAGTGTCCAAAATAGGAGGCAGGAGATTCAACTTCCCATGCCAATGATCTGATCCAGGGAGGCTGAAATCTCTCGTTTTCTGCACCCCTTTTGGGCAGAATAAAAAGAATGTTGGGTTGAAAGTGTATTGATCCCATTTAATTGTGTTATTTTCTGTCTAAACCCCAGTTCCAGCATGTTTATACACGGAGATGGGTGAGGCTTTGTGGTCAGTTTTGTAGGAGATTTCCAAGAAATTTCCAATTATCCCTCATGGGCAGTGGCCTTCCATAGACAGTTCTTCCACCAACTCCACTGGAACAAAACTGTATTTACTGGGAATTTCAGGTGATTTGTGTAATGATTCTGGCCTGAATTTGAATTAAGTGTAATTTCCCCCCCTTTATTTTAATCCTACAGAGCATCATCCGAATTCCTTGCGTGTTGGTCAAAGCCTCCCACATTTTGCCCCATCCTGACCTGGTTCTGTATTTTCCTATAATCCCCTTTTTCAAATTCCAGCAAAAAAAAAAATATTCTCCTCGCAGTAATCACTCTGTGATATTTGGAATAATGAATAAAGTTGTGATTTAAATGGGATGTGATTTAAATGGGATGTGATTTAAGTGCCACTAGGCATGTGAAATACAGGAAGGCTTCCAAGAGAGGTGGTAGAATTCCCACCCTTGGGAGTTTTCCTGGCTCAGGTGGAGGAAGTCCTGAGGAAACTTGGGAGCTTTGATCAGGAATTTGGATCAGAAGCCTCCTGAGGTCGCCCTTCCAAGCTGAGCTCCCTGCAATCCCACCCTAAGGTCAACACCAATTTTTCCAGGCATTCTCCAATGTCTGGGAGATCTTCCTGCCACCGTTTTCACCTCTCCCATTGCCAGACTGAGACCCAATTTGGAACGAGCTGCAGTTCTAGGTCCAAGCAGAGCTCCCCAAGGTTGCTCAAATATCATTCCTTCGCTGGAAGAACATCCTGTACTTGGTCATGGTGCTGCCCTGGCATGGAGAGGGCTGGATCAACCACATTCCTGCCTCTGGAAGGACTTTTGGAACGAGTTGAAGGCTTGATTAGCTGGCAGTGTGAGTTCTGCAGCCATGGCAGGAGCTCCATCCTCAGAGGTGTTTAATGTGGTTTTGGGTTTCTCCTGCACAAGAACAAATCCTTTTAACCTGCCTGTTCTGGAAGAGCAGCCTCGGGTTGTGCTGGACCCCTGAGAGCAAAACACCCCCAATGCCTCTCTGCACATTGATTTAATTCGCACTCCCAGCCTTCACTGCACCTTTTGGGCTTAACTCCAATATTTCTTCTGAGGGCAGTTTTGTTTCTCCTTCAAACCCTCCATCTCAAAATTTCCTTCAGACCCTTCATTCTCTTAGATGAGACCACCCTCTATCTAAATTTCCTGCATCATTTATGTTAAATAGCCCTGTGTCCACCCTCTGTCTCCCTTTCCTGCATCATTTATGTTACGTGGCCCTGTGTCCACCCTGGGAGCTCTTTTCCAAGCCCCAAATCCCTTCTCCAAATCCAGGTTTCACTCATGAACTCAGGACCAAGGCCAAGGCATTGCTGGGTTTGGGAAGGTGAGCAGAGCCCATCTGGCTGATGGAACAAACACCATCAGAAAAAAGGTGAAGACAACCAAAACCAGCAGCTCCCAGTTACAAGAGGGCTGTGGCTCACTGGGTTTGCTTTGTCCAAACTTGCCCTGACCTGAAATCAGCTTTGTGTTTGCTCTTGTTCATCTGCAACAGGAGCTTCCCTAATTGGCCAGGCGATTGTGCCCCAATTCACCTCACTTTTGTTTACCTTTCTCTGCTGCAACTCTTAAGTTTACACAGAGAGTTGCAAGTTTTTTAAGTTTACAAGGAGTTGTATGGTAAGAAAGAGATGTTTGTGACAGAAAGAAACCCAGACCTGGTGCAGCAGCAGAGGCCTCAAGAGCTGGAAAAACATCTTCATGGAAAGGGCTGTCCAAGGAAGTGGTGGAGTCACCAGCCCTGGAGGGGTTTAGATGTGGCACTTGGGGACGTGGGTTACTGGTGAGCTTGGCAGTGCTGGGTTGGTGGTTGGACTTGGATATCAGAGGTGTTTTCCAGCCTAAAAGATTCTGTGGATGTGCAGGATGTGGCCCAGGGAAGTGCTGGCACGGGGTGATGGGACGTGGGGCATCACCTTGGTATTAAACAACTCAGCAACAAAGGAACAGAGACCTGGAGGGGAAAAAAATCAGCTTTAGGAACGGCAAAAGGAACAAAAAAAATAAAATTACCACATCATAAAATCCCTTGTGGGGTGGACCTGAGCCTTCTGACCAAGGGAAGTGGTCACGGCACCAACCCTGCCAGAGCCCAAGAAGAGTCTGGGCAACCCTCTCAGCCACGTGGTGGGATTTTTGGGGTTGTTGTGGGCTGGAGTTGGGCTTGGATGATCCTTGTGGATCCCTTCCAGCTCTGGATGTTCCATGAATCCACAAATCATAAACCAAATGACTCCCAGCAGACTCTGCTGAGGAAGAAGAATCTGTTTCCACCATCCCATTCCTCCCAATGGAAGGCTCAGGATGCAGAGGACTGACTGTCCCTGCCTGAAGGTGGGAAGCAGGAACATTGTGGAAGATCAGGATAACACCAGGAAAAAGGGTTGAAACTAGTCAGTATGTGTAGAACCATTTTAACCATATTTAAAATAAATAATTATTATTAATACTAGTAATAATAATGGCATCAACAATAATAGTAAAAATAATAGTAATAATAATAGTAGTAGTAATCATAATAATTTTCCTTCTCTTTTTATGCCTAAAATAATTTGATCTTCACTAATCATAATTATTTGATTAAACTGTTACGATTTCATACTTAATAACAAATAATAGTAAAGATCCACACTTGAGCTTCTCCTGGCTCCCTTGGGAATCCGTGGAAAGACAGAAAATCCCAATAAATCTGATGTTCAGAGGGGTCGTGGATACCCCATCCCTGGAAGTGTCCAGGTCCAGGCTGGACTGGGCTTGGAGCAACCTGGGCTGGTGGAAGGTGTCCCATGGCAGGAACCAGATGGTCTTCAAGTCCCTTCCAGCTTAAACAATTTTATGATTCCATGAAATATTTCCCATCCATGAATAAGGGGGAGCTGCTGGCTCATTTCCCACCCCACCTCCATCCTGCTGTATCCTAAGGAAAGTCTCTGAAATGTTTCATTCCCCCAAAAGGGGCTTGGGAGGATTCAATCCACATTTCCCACGTGTCTGTGTGAAGGAATGTCATTGTCCACGATGCAGCTCTGGGGATGGGGCAGGGGAGGACAAATCTGCGCTCCCATGGGCTCTGCTCCTGTGTGGAAGAGCAGGAACCAGGGAAGAGCAGCTGGATTGTCTCCCAAACCACCCCAGAGAATTGCACCACAGCCCCCAGAGCTGCCTTCCAACCTCACGTGTGTTATAATCCCAGATTTTTGATCCACACTGGGGGGCAACTCCTTTTATTTCAGCTTTCTCCCCAAAACACCTTTCACCAGACACCGGTGGCTGTCACTTCCAGCTGGAAATCTTTCCAAAAAGCAGGAACGAGCTCCGTTCTTCCTCTCCAGAGGAGCACAGAGCAGTTGCTGTGCTGTACCCAAGTCCTTCCCAGCTCGTTTGCAGAGGGGACAATGAAGTTGCCACAGGGAGCACAGACCTCTAAAGGAATAATTATTACCTGGTGACACAGCCCTGCCCTCGAGGGGCTGACTCATATTGCCACAGCCTCCAAACAAGAGATAATCTTCTTATATAACCACCTTCCCTGATGCAGTTAAGTCACCGAGATTTGTTTTTTTTAAAATCAGGTTTGAAAAGCACTTCCTGGGTTTTACAGGTGTTTCCTGCTCTGTGCACACAAACACAAGCTCTGCTTGCAAAACATGATGCTCTCTCTGGGTACAAATATCCAGTTTGTGGTTTTTTTTTTTCCCCAGGTAATGCAGCACTGCCTGGACAGGCTGGGAGAGCTGGGAATGTTCACCTGGAGAAGGGAAGGCTCCAGGGAGAACTTGGAGCCTCTTGTAGTGCTTAAAGGGGCTCCAGGAGAGCTGGAGAGGGACTGGGGGCAAGGGATGGAGGGACAGGACACAGGGAATGGCTTCAAACTGCCAGAGGGTTAGATGGGATATTGGGAAGAAATTCTTCCCGGTGAGGGTGGGGAGGGGCTGTGATGGATTTCCCGGAGAAGCTGTGGCACTTCCATCCCTGGAAGTGTCCAAGGCCAGGTTGGACGGGGCTTGGAGCAACCTGGGATAATGAAAGGTGTCCCTGCCCGTGGCAGGGGGTGGAATGGGATGATCTTTCAGGTCCCTCCCAACTCAAACCATTCCTGAATTCCATGATTACTGAAGGTGGATCTGTCCAGGCTTGATCAGAAAGGTGCATGGAGAACCAGAACACAAATGAGAACAGCCAAGAAAAATAATCAGCAAGCAGCAAATGAGCTGAACTCCTGCTGTGCAGCTCCATGGCCAGCAGGGATACTGGAGGGATGCAATTCCAGAGGGGGCAAGCTCAGGCACCGCTGAACTTCAGGCTGCAGCTCATGTTTTCAGCAGCAGCAAAGTGCTTGTTCACGCAGGGACATGAAAGAAAAGCAACTCTGGATGTTCCTGAAAGGCTCTGCCATCCCAGCAGGGGCTCAGAAGTGCCTCCTGAAACACTTCCTCTGGGGAAGAATTAGCAACACAACAGATTTCCCGTTGTCCTGGGAGGATTGGAAGCAGAC